GCTTCTGCTTCCTGCTAGAGGTAACAATAATGGAAATGGTTTAGGTTTTCTGGAAGCGTATGAGAGGGAAATTCTAAGGCAGGCAATATTTTACGAGTGGTTTACCCGATTCAGGAATGAGTACATTTCACTCGAAGATTTATTCCATTCGTGTCGTCAAGAACAAACGATAATAGTGCATAATACCGTCGTGTTTGATCGTCCCAGAAAACTCACAACTTGGAGGAGCTCAACAAACTGTCCTGGAGTTCTTGCAAAAAACTCCTAATGAAAGATTTGAACATAAGAAACGTCCTAACAGATTTTGTTCCACAACTGCGTGTGCCAGAAATTGACAAAAACTGGCCCTTTTTATTCTCCAGGAGTCACCAGAGACGATCAGTCCTGATGTCACGCTCTCAATCATAAGAGAGAGAGCAGCAATCCAACCGGTCGGGGACGTTCTCCTTGGCCATTGCGTGAGGCAATAAGGAAAAACGAGCTGAATTGCAATGATCGGGGACTAACTGCCTAAGCCTGTCGAGATGCATGCACATACATCGTCTAATATCTGCCAGTCTGCTTGCGAAAGACTGCTTCTTGGTCCCCTTACGCGTCCGGTCAAGCCTCCCTGTGAATTCATCTTAGTCCCAAGAACGATGTAAAGCGTCACAGGTAAGACTTTTCACAGGGTAGAAGAGGTTCAGAAGAAATCCCTAGAGGCATTTCGCAGACCTAGTGCAGAAAAGTTTGAAAAGTCGTCTCGCAGTGGAAAAGGGCATCATCCGACAGACATTATTTAAGTAGAGGATACATGTGTTTAAGATGTGATCATAAACATCAAGTTTGAACAAATTATTTTGTTTCTGGTTATTACCACGTATATCAGAAGACGCCAGCTTTGCCCTATCCAACAGAAGCATAACGTGGTCCGCTGCTAAACGCAAAGAGCCAGAAAAATCTGCTCAGTAGACACTATTGAAATAGAGCTCCAGAAACTCCAGAACCTGCTTCTGTAGAACGGATATCCAGACAGATTCATCAAAAAGAATATGATGGAGAAAGAAACAAAGCCCACTACACCCACTGTGGAAAAGAAGACCTTATTCCTCAAAGTTCCCTTCCAAGGGGATGCAGCAAGCAAAATCCTACGCAGACGCCTCAACCAAGCCGTAGCACAAACCTTCCCAGAAGCGAAATTTCTGGTGTTATTTTCAACCAACCCAGTCCCGCACAGCGAAGGTAAGGATAAGCTACCAGCTCAGACCACTTCTATGTGTATCTTATCAGTTACTTGCTCCTGAGAAGCAGGTTATATCGGTCGCACAAGTCGGGAGCACCTCCCGGCATGGCTAGCCAGAGGTGAAATCAAAAGTATCAACAGCTCCTTCCTTGCCCACATGGTTGACTCCGGACATCGTGTGGACATCAGCGAAGCCTTTAAGGTACTTTACGAGGTCCCACCAAACTGCCTAAAGTCTCTGGGTCAACGTTTGCTGGCTACGGCAGAAGCAACCGCAATCCGGTTGAAGAAGCCAGTTTTGTGCGCGCAAAAAATTTTGTGCGAATTCCACATTTGGCGTGGCCCTCAGTCACTTAACGGCATGCACTAATCCGTGCTCTGATTGGCTCCCGTTTGTAAGAAAAGACGATCGATCGATTGTTTAAATTTTAACTTCCCATGTAAATGTATGGCCTGAGGAGAATTTACCGAAATTGTACACTAGCCAATGCTGTTCTGAATTATCTGATGGGAATTTTTGCAACTTTAACTGAATGGAAATTTCTCTTTAATCTGTGCGACAGTCACGAGTAAACTACCAACCAGACTCAATATCTGAGGGCGCAGCAGTCAGTCGTCGGCAAATGCAGGCTGTATTGAGGGGCGGATAAACTGAGGTAGCAAAATGAGACTGCTGGTTTTTCTACGTTCCACCAACCGAAATGATCTTAAAGTAGGCGTTGGATTTGACATTCAATAGTTTTTTTTTGGGGCGTCTTCAGAGCTAAAGGCGCAAAAGCAGCGAAGATTAACGTAAGGGACTCGCCAACTAGGATCCCAAAAATAACCTTAAGACTCTTGATTTAACCTTCAGGTATCTGTTACCTTGTGTGTATAAAAGTCCAGTCTTTTCCATCTCAGATATGAATCGTGTCATTATCGGTTAATATTCATGAATTAAAAAGTCATTTATGTTGTCCTACTACCTCAGGACTTAAGAATCTTTGTTTTTTGAGCAATGTTCTACAGAAGATACCAGTTGTTTCTGTCTTCTGTGCGATTTTCTATATGACGGTTGATTTCTGACTAGAACAACGTGGTTTTTTGCTGTACTATTTTTGAGATTAATAATTTCGCTCATTATTGAGAACGATCGGGGCAATTTGTCCTGAATATAGTTCTGGTTTAAGTGAAGCTAAAACTAATAACATTTGCAGTCATATATTTCTGAAAGTTGCAATTTACAAGTGAATGAAGAACCACACCCATGGGGCTCTAAAAATAGTTATCAGATTAAGGGTTAAAAATTTCACAAGTTACATCTTACAACCTGGACAGATTTCTATCTCAGTTTTTTGATCCAAAAGGTCTGTTCTTTTTTGACACTCTTCACAATGGCCAAAACTGTTTACAGCATGTGCACAATATGAATCGCCAATTACACAGATAGGCGTGTTTTCGTTTCCCTTCTCCTCTTCCACCTTCTGGATGAAATCAATAAACATTACCTTTGAAACCCCAGCAACGGACTGTCGGTTCCAGATTGGACTGTCGCCACTAACTCTTGGCAATGCCACCAAAGTTCCATCACCTCCGGACCCCTCGTGCACATTCTGGGTCAGACGGACGGGTGACACCACGCTCTGTTGCGAGATGTTTGACGTCGATATTGGCAGAGTGCAAGAGTTCCCGCGCGCAGGCATGGAAACAAAGTAGAAAGATGCAGCTTCCACCTGTTCAGGCGATACACCTGAGGACGCGAGAGAGATTGGCGTACAGCTGTGAATTGGTTGCAAGATAATCTCGTCAGCTTCCGGCATTCTTTCGGGCAATTCATCGACCTGAGTCTTTGTTTTGGTCAGACGATAGAATTTGGGACGGTTGCGCGGAGCTCTGTAGTCCGTTGCCTGCTCACTGAAGGCCATTTGGTTGTATGTGGTGACTCCTTGTTGCCTGAGGCTTCGACGCCAGCGTCGAAGTAGAAAGTACGCCATGATTACTAACAAACAAAGTCCAGTGCAGACGAAACCAACAGCAACGGCCACACCAACTTTGCCATTCGCAGAAAAATTCCAGTTAACCGCCTTTGCTTTCTCCGATAACTTGGTCGGCATCATATCGTCGACTGAGTCAGAAAGAAGGATATTATCTTGCATGGTGCCGTCGGACCTTAGCCGCTGATGCGGTGCTGTCAGGGCAATTGTCAGTTGAGATGCAGCTGGGTTCATGAAGTCCTGAGCAAGTACAAGCACAGGTACCTTCTCTTCCCGGAAGACATCATTGTTCACTGTGCTATTAGAAGCTACTTGCGAAATGTTGCTGAAACTCTTGAAGATTATCTTGCCACTGACAATATCATCATAAGTGAAGCAAAGTTTTCCAAAGACGGATAGACAATTCTTGGATGGTTCCTCAGCTATGTCTCGCTGGACCGTTATCTCTCCGACCAGCAATTTTTGTGGAACGATGATTATAAGTGACTGTTTAACTTTCTGGCCAACATCGCCAGTGCGAACCATTGGAAAGTACTCTTTCATGCCCTCAACAGATTTCACAAGAAGTGAGCAGTCCAGCAGACTTTCTGAAATGAGCATCGTCTTCCCAATCTGCGCAGTGATTGGTCGAAAATATACCAGGGGCTTAGTATGTAGGCGAACCAAAACAGTTTTGGAAGCCGGGCTTGGCGAAGAGTCCAACATACATGTGTTGGGCAAATGATGATAATCGGAACCTAGAACAAACTCGTCTTGTGTCACGTTCGGATGCCGTTTGGTATAAAAAATCACCCGATTAAGTAAATGAGCATATTCGATTTCATGGACTGGAATGTTGTCGACAAATACATGTCCATATTTTGGAGGACGCCAGACCCTTAAGCGTCCACCGCGTAGTAAATCCGGTAGAAATAATGAAAACATGCTAAGGTTAAAGTAGACAAAATTTTCAGAGTCTGTGATAGGAATGTCTAAGAAAAATGGTGGTTCTTGAAGGGGATAAAGTCGCAGAAAGAAAGTGATGAGCTTTATTGGTCGGTCGCCATGCAGGTCGCAATGCAGCTTTGTGTTGCAGACTTTAATCCGCAGTCGGTCACGCCTTGCTTCATTTAGCGTGGCCTTCTTGCGCACGTACATTACCTGCCCAGCCTTTAGATGTTCAAGCTTGAATGAAGTAACCGGAGCCAACCAACAGCTATTCCCATTGCCCTTGCTTCGCCTGCACAAATGTAGCAGAACCTCGCCTTGCAAGGCGGCTTGGTCGACTTCAAAAAAGAGGTCCTGTTGCTGCAGATCGCGAGGTAGGAAGAAGTGGCTCACGTTTAAGGTGAAACTCTCTCCTCTGAGACGCTGATGAATCTGTTCGTGAACAGCACTTTTCCTGTCAGTGCTATCTAAGGATTTTCTGCTTTCTACCGGCAATTGAATGACAATAGGAAGAATGATTCTGCTGTTGTAGTTGGTTGGAGACGTAGCAGCAGTTGGCTAAAATGCAGAGAATACATTATCACGGGATTAATGTAAAGGAAGTAGCAGAGATGTCTGCGTAAACCAAAGACTGACAGGTTGATAAAACATATATCCCAGTCAGCGTAAAAGAAAAAGGACAATATGGCTCATACACTGATTGGCATCTTCAGTTTATTCATTTGCTAATAGTAAGTTTATCGAAGATTTTGGTAGTTTACCAGAATGCTGCCTTTTGGCCTATTTATACTGTGTGTTGTTATATCACAGGGTCCACAATTTCTTGTTCCTAAGTCGTCAAATGGCATTTCAAAGTCGTTCCACCTATTGTCTTATCACCTTGAAGCAACTATCTGTTTCGTTTCATACATACGTAAAGTTCGGTATTCTGCTGAAACTGATATTCCGTATCTCGGCCCCCAATGCAGTCTATGGTATACGTCTGTGTCCGAAAGAAAAGGAACACTTTACAATTAAATTAAAGCTACCTTTATAAACAAGGTTTTGATTATGAGAGAATCCAGACTATACATTACACTGCGGAGAAGAGATGTGACGACAGAAAACATCGGAGGTTCACGAAGTCAATAAAATTTTGGAGGTGAATGTCACTTAGAATTAGCATTACTAACCTTAATGACAGGAGAAAGTTTGAGTCGTAAATTCCAAAAAAACCTAAGAGACATTATGCGGGAGATGATGTTCTACGATAAAAATTGCACGCATAAATGCGCGCTTATACTGTAGACTGGTTACAATTCGGAACAGTAAGAATAACTTAGCGGTTAAATTGACCTACAAATCAATTCTTTTGTAGTGAGATTCTTCTTAAATGAGTTTAGACTTGCAAATGACAATACCTATAGGTTAGCAGGAAAATCTCTTCATTTTGTTCACTGTAATGAATAATCAAGTATTGACGTAAATCGCATCAAAAAGTACTTTAGCTCCTATCAGTGTTCTAAAGGACGTATTGAAGTATTTTATGTTTACATTATTTGCGCTTATTGAGCTATCTTTTTGAGGTAAGTCCGAACGGGCAACATGCTCGACGAACTGACTAATCGAATGTAAGTAAACGTAATTTATCAAGTTTGTTCAAGATCCCATGCATCTGGAATGATGTTGTAATTTCCGGGTGTCTTTAGTCGGCTTTCTCACTATCGGTGATGCATCAAACGTCAGCAACTGGTTTTAACCTGGTTATTCTGCTGTTGCATCTGTTGCAGGGAGAATGAACCATTGCATAAAATGTTTAATGCATATCAAACCTGCCTTAAATATGTTTAATTTTATTACAGAATAACCCTTTAGTGTCTTAGTGCCTTTGGTTGGTTTATCGCGAACGTAAAATGCAAGACGTTAGTTATCGAAAGCAACCGATTCTACTTGCTTAATTTCCTCAACAGAAGTTAACGCTGTCAAATGAAATGGATAGTCTGTTATTTGATTCTTCGCATTCGTGCGCAGATATCAAATAATCTGAGTAACAAGGCACCTTAAACGAACGAGTTGGGTAGCTTATGGACTCCTCTTATGTCTAGTGCAAATATATGCAGATGTTTGCATTTTATAGTTAATCTGCTCACTGTTTTTAAATTTACCATCCCCAATGTATACTGGAATAAGTCATAATCTGAAATGAAAACGCTTGTCAAGTTAGGCTTTGTTCTGCAAATAAGTAACGTAGGTTAAAAACGCAAATGTTCATATCCACTTGTGTGTTATAGCACATTACGAATAGAAGTATTTGCAAGTAAATCATTCAAGTCAAGTCAAGTTTATTATGAGAAATATAGAGAAACGCCCTTGAACTCGTATTTTATCACTAGACACTACAGAACAGAATCGATTTAACTTTCATGCTCTTCGGCCGGACTAGAATGTCGTTGACGCTGGATATAATTCCCTAGAATGTAATCAGTTTATCCGTCATCTTCCTTAAATTGCTTTGGATGTGTTGTTGACGTTTGAAACTACAGATGGATGTTTCAAAAATTTTAATTATCTGCCAGATATCTGTATCGTTATTTTGATAGTTTCCCTTATATAACTGAAAACATGTTTACTAGAAATAAAAGCAGTCATTTAGTTCGGCGCAACGAATGCTTCTGTAACCCTCCTAACCAGCAATGATTGATTGTACGACCACCTTACATACACAGTCGACACATAGGCGCATAATACGGCAACAGTTACAATGGTGTAGAGCTGCTTAAAAGATGGAAAGGGACGGCAATGCGTCGGAACTGAAAAATAGATGTGTATGTTTACTGTTTCTGTTTTAGTCGGCTGGATTTTGTACTGAATTATGTTCCAACCTACCTGCCAGTCATACTGTAGCTTTAACGCTAACGTAAAACATCCTAACGCTAACGCCAACGCCAACCCTGACCTCAAGCTCTACGCTCATCAAAATCCTGTTCGTTATAGTTGAGGTTCGTTACCGAATAAGAAGGATCACACAAACATCCGTATGCTTAATAAAAGTGGTGACTGTCTCTGTGTGTCTCCATTATCATTGGTGGATG